TAAATTGTGAATCTGTGACTAAATTGTATATTTCTGTGACTTTAATATATTTAATTAATTAAATCATAAATAGATCTTAATAAAAATCTGATTTTTGAAATTCCAAACTTGTTTTCTTAATTTTGAAATAGGGAATACTTATCCTCTTACTTATGAATTTTTCCCAAAATTTTAACTCTCTAAATTTACATATGCTCCCCAAATGATAAAATGTGTTATTTAAAAATAGAGAGTCCCTTCAAGATGCTCTTAAATATCGTTTATGCACTGACTTAAGTCCCCATTTGACAATTATTATTTGGGAGAATATAATTTTGAATAGTGATTTTAAGAAGAATGTGTGGTTAAAAAGTAAGAAATTTTTTTGGATTTAAGTATAAAATATTTTATTGTGAAAATGTATGGTTAAAAATGAATATATAGAAAAAAAAAATTGAAAATAATGGCTGTCAGCCATAGAAGGCTTTCCACAAATTGAGACATGTTCTCTCTTTCTATTCTTAAGGGCCAAACACGGGCTTACAGTTGCTATGCCACCTCCAAAAGTTGCAAAATCACTTCACATTTATTGGACTGATATGAAACCCAAAAGATGAAATATTTTTCATTTATAAATTATGGAAGTGAAATAGGTCTAAACCTTTTAACCATTCACTTCTTTATCCACATTAGGGTTAATAACTCAGTCAACTTTGCAAAAAAATTTCACATGGTCATCAAACTTTAAAAATCACCCAAGTAATCACTGAATTTTGCAAAAGGTTTACACGGGGTCACTGAACTTTAAAAATCACTTCATTCATCATTAAACTTTGTAAAAAATTTCCACAGGGTCACTGAACTTTGCAAAAGATTTCCCAATGGATCACTGATGAATGAGATGATTTTTAGGGTCCGTTTGATAGCCTAGAAAATGAGTGGAAAAGGAAAATATTTTCTAACTTTAGCCAATTAAGGGTGTTTGATAGCACAAATTTTCCTGACAAAATGTTTTCCACCTTTTGCTAAGTATAATCTTTTGATGCACAAAAGTTTGATTTTGTTTTCTCACCTATTTGGTGGGAAAACATTTTCCACCTTTTTTTTTTTTTGCTTTTTTTTTTTAATTGCAATGGGAACAAATTCTAGATACAATGGTAAAAAAAAAATTTCACTTTTATTGAAAATTTCGATGTAAAACAAAGTCAAACGAATGATATTCGGTATAGTAAATTTTTTTTTTTTTTACAATTGGAACAATTTTACACCCAATGATAGAAAAAATTATCACTTTAATATACAAATTCCATAAAAAATGAAGTCAAATGGACACCAAACTTTCAACATTTTCCCTGAAAAATTATACCCATCAAACACAATTAATTACAATTCCCAGTAAAACATTTTCTAGGAAGATCAATTCCCTATAAAATATTTTCTTTCCACCCATTTTTCACCCTTACAATCAAACGGACCCTTAAAGTTCAGTGACCTGTGGAAACCTTTTGTAAAGTTCAGTGATAATTTGAGTGATTTTTAAAATTCAGTTGCCATTTTGGTTATTAACCCTCCACGTTATACCATTTCTAATTTGCTTCAAATTGATTTATAATTCCACATTATAAACTTGAAATTTGCTGACGATTGATTCTTGATTGTTTTTAGGGTTACATTTGTAATAAGATCAAGACTAAACTCAAGTGATAAAAGTGAAGTCTTATCAGATCATTGACCTAGTTTTGAGTTTCATTATGGGGAAAGAGTGAAATTCACAAAAAGAGTTACAATTGTGATACTATTGTAAAGTTGTTAAAAGAATGTACGTTATCCAATGCAAGCTGTCTTATTGGGCACTTTGGTACAAGAGTGAGGATTATGCGTAAACTAAACTAAGTAAACGAAAGAAACTCAGAGTCAGAAAAGGATAACCATCCTATGATCCTACCTTTAAACTCTCATCCATCAATCTTATTAGATAGTTCATCAAAAGAGGAAGCGAGAAATCGGATGGAACTTGAAGGGAAAGCCAATTGATGATGCTCGATTTACTCATAATATTTGTAAGTTCAATTATGGAATTACAAGCAGGAGCGGAGCCAGCACCTCACGAGTCACGACAGCAGCTCGAGTTGGCTCCTTCGATTTTTTTTTTTCATATATTGGGCTGCCGCTTGACGAATGCTCAAGTGCCAACGAGTGGCCGCACGCACTTGCTTGGATCTACCCCATCTCATTCGAATTCCTAGATTTGCCACTTATTAGAAGGGATTATGTATAATATTAGTATACTAAGCGTGTGTCTGGACGCAATTAAAATTACACAAAACTGGCTTTTTTGGACCGTTGTCATTCAAATTGTGGGCTGGCTGTGAGTAAACAAAAGTCAAAAATTGTGGGCGGTTACTATAGCAACAATCGAAATTGTAATTATAATTGCTCCCAAACAGGCTCTAATTTACACATGGATTATACAAGTCAACATATGCACAAGAGCATGCACGAGCACAAATGCATTTTCTTTTTATGCCGGGTCGGGGTCTGTGTGTCTCGTAATACAAATTGCGTGTTAGAAACACCAACAGTCGCACATCTTATGATGACATTAGCATTAATCGCTAAACTTTATTTTAGTCCAAATTGGACATCAGGTTTGTTTTAAATTTCATATTAGCCATTCAATTAAAATCCATTAGGGGCCGTTCTCTTTGTGTTTTGTGTTTTTAGTGTCCATTTTGAGATAGTTGAAAATGCATCCTTTTTGGTATTTTCAAAAATAGTTTTAAAAAAATAGGAAATAGAAAACGTGTTCTTCTCAATTGTTTTAAAAAATGAGGAAATGGAAATTCTCTGGCATCTCTCTTACTTCTTCTCAGACTCTCCGGCGTCTCTCTCTCTCTCTCTCTCTCTCTTCTTCCCCTCCCCTCTCTATAGCTATAAACGGCAGCCTCATGTGGTCCACGACCATAGGTCCACTGGGCGACGTCGAAATCTGCCATTTTCCGACCCTGTAGCGTTGTGCGAATGGTGCAGATTCAGAATAATGGCATGTTGTTTTGGGTAAATTGGAGCTATGATTGGAGTCGTCTGGGGGTGGGCAATCGACCAGTGGTGGTGCGCAACCTTTGGCGTCGACGGAGCTTGAGATTCCGACAGAAGCAGTAAGCTTCGAATCAGTTTTTGAGGATTTTTTTTTATCGATTTTGGTATATGTTTGGGTAGTGGTTTGTGTGGTTACTGAAGAAGGGATTGAGGGCTTCACAATGGTATGCAAATCCGGTGGTGGTGGAGGAGGATGGCCGGAGTTTAGAAGGTTGGAAGTGGCCGCTCCATTGTTTTGGCAGAAGAGGCTGGNCATTTCTGCCGGGTTTGTGCAAAAAACGCCTTCTTCGCATTTTTTTTCGTTTTCCAAAATCCGTTTTCGAAAATGATGAAGAGAACGCGTTTTTGCATTTTTGAAAAATCGAAAACAGAAAACGGGTGGAAAACGCCAAAGAGAACGGCCCCTTAGTTTTTCTAATGCAATATCTAGGGATGGAAGATGGTGGCATCAAACTGGACATCTTCCATGACAAACATTCCGTTAGAAATATAATAGATTGTAACTCAGTGACACTCAAATTGAAACAAAAAGTGACTTCAGTGACTACTCTTGAACAAAATAAACAATGTCTATTTACTGTATAAACTGCAATACTTACAATGAGTTATCGATAATCCTCCTGGAGACGAACCTTGCTGAGTATCTCATTTAGAGCTTGTAACGTAAACTTGTATCGATCATATGATTTCCTCCCTTCCTCTGCAACCTTCACAACACATTTATACAAATGATCATATCTATGAACAGTGCTATTGATATCAATACCGTTCCGACCATGATTGTAAATGTAGGCACGCTTAATGTCCTTCCGCCATCTTGCAAGAACGTACTGTGATGGAATCTCCTCTAAACCAATTTGGCTGATGACACTTAATGCATGCCTGCACAAATAACCCTTGAAATTGAATAATCCACACAAACAAATAACCCCTGCATCGGAAGTATTGTATGTGACCTCATAATTTCTAGTCACCCTCGTATTTTCCTCGACTTGAATGTCTTCCTTAACAATGTAAGTCACGACTGGGCCGTCGATATTTATTTGTCTTGTGCTGTAACAAGAGTACGTTCCCTCTATTTCATCTTGAAACTTCTTCGTTATATCGTTTGTGTACAATTTTGATAGCTGCAACTCAAAATAAAATCTGGACTTTAATACACAATTGGAGTTCCAGGATTCTAAATCACACAGCGCTTCTCTTTTGTAAGCTTCCTGCACAGCTTGATCGTAGCTATTAAGAAAATCTTTTAGAGAAGTATGTCGATCAAGGTATCCCTCAAAAGGAGAAGCCAAACTCTCGTCCTGTTTCAAAGGAAATGCTCCAGCGAAAAAGGTCTCCTTCAAATAGACCGGGACCCACTGCTTACGGTCTTCGTATAATGCTTGAAGCCATTTATGGTCCCCAATCCCATGTCGCTGCACCATCTCGTCCCAAGATGCTTCAAACTCATCTGCCCTCAATGAATGATAAACCGATCTAATAAATGCCATTCTTATTGAATCATATTCCTGAAATCCTTCCAGTTCATCCGGAACCTTCTTCATAATATTAGACAAAGAAAGACCATGAAAAGCTCTAGGAAAAACTTCTGTAACAGCATTTTTCAAAGATTTACTTTGGTCGGTAATTATAGTCTGTGGAGGTCGTCCAACCATATATGTAAGCCATGCCCTAAAGAGCCATATAAATGAATCTATAGCCTCGTTTGCCATAAAACCACAGCCAAATGACACAGGCTGTCCATGATGATTGATGCCAGTAAATACCAGCAGTGGCACCTTGTATTTGTCCAACAAACTTTTCGTGTCAATCATCATCACATCTCCAAAATAACCATAAGCAGCCCTGCACCTTCCTTCAGCCCAAAACACATTCCGCAAGCATCCTTTCTCATTGAGATCCATTACGTAGAAGAAATTTGGATCCATTAACTGCATATGAGCAAAAAAGTTCAACATTTCTTGTGCATCCCCTGGTTTAAGGTCCAATTGGTTGTTTGGCTGATCAACATTATTCCTAAATACACCTTCATCAATGTTTAAGATCCCTCTATCTTCTGAATCAATGACGACCGTCCTAAACAGCCTGATTTTTTGAACTTCCTCAGCATCATCTATCAGCAAAGGTCGTTTACTTCCAAGACCCATCATCCTATGAGATTTGTAAAACTTCCCACTAGTTGGATTCATTAAATGATTATGCTCAAGCTCAACCTCTATAATTCTCCACCTCTTATTCTCCATCAACCTAAACTTTATCATTGCTGGACAGCCAGTCCGAGTTTCGGGTCTCGGCCGATTGGCTTCGCTTTTCTTCTTGAATCCTGCACTGCTGCAACTTAATTTCCCTCGATATTTTTCCTTACTCTTTCTATACCAAGTATTACTCACCCGGACACCAAACCCTTGTTCTTTTGCGTAACAATTATAGAAGTAATAAGCATCATCATAGGACTCGAATTCCATTCCAACAGCTGGAGGTAGAGGATTCTCTCCCTGCATAATATTACCACTCTGGCCAACATACTCAGTCATTGCGCATTCTCCATCAATCTCAAATTCCTCAACCTCATCATCACATACAGGTTCACTGTTGAGGGAAACTTCATCCATCTAGTCGAGATGAAACAAAAAAGGGAAATAAGAACCAGTGACTATTAAATGAGATAACATCAGAATTTAATATGGAAACAAAAAAGAAAGAGGATTAGCTTGCTTCTAAAAGTAAATTAGACACGTGTGTTAGTCAGCCTGTTTGCCAGCACTAGCTAATTGAAGCTTAATTTATTGATATGGGAAAATAAATCAGCTAGCAAGTCCACAAGGAGAAAAAATGTAACAACAATTATGCCAATTTAAGAGGATAAATGAAAGCGGAATCCAGCTAATAGCTTTCAACATACAACAACAAACTAGAAATTTGAAGTCGGCTACATGAACTCAATTTCGCCAATCTGTTGAGTTCATAACTAGGATTAGCTGGGAGATCTAAAGCAATTAAAACCTTAACAATAACAACAAACCATGTGAGTTTTGGTCTATACCTCCCTCTACTAATGTTGAAGATCAACTTTAACCTATGAGGCGAAAACTAAACAGCAAAAAGGGGAAAACAAGAACTCCTCTTTGTTTATGTTCCAATAAAATACTGTACGCTTCAATAAGGGAAAGAGAGTGAACAGAATTTTATTTCATGATAATTGCATGTCAAAGAAATCTTCTAACATAATTAAGCCCCTGTTTGGTTTTGCCAACAATAGATTTTAGCAGACTTCGATAAAAGTCGATGAAATGTGTGGTTGGAATGTGTGTTGAAAATGAGTTCGAGGAAAAATGAGTTTTAGAAAATGGAGCTCAAACCGGGCTAAATGTTAGTAAAGTAATAAGAGAATAATGCCAGTTATGGGGCATAGCCCAACCCTGCGAAGGAAGCAGGCCGGGGATATTTAAAAGCTGTCAAGGGAAGAACCTTTGCTGCAGGAAGAAGGTGATGTAGCCCGGTTGGGTATCAGGCTTGGTGATGTTTCAGACGCCAAAGTTGATGGCACTGTCGAGATTAAATTACAAGCTATGTATAGAGCTCCCATTAATTGTTATCCTTCAGGACCAAACAACAATGTATCAGACTACCAATTTTAACCTCTTCTAGAAGTCAAATTTATACGCTGAAAAACCCCTTTTTTTTTCCAATTTCCATAATTTTATCACCACAGGGAACGATCCTGCCACGAAATTGTACGAAATTCAACACTGTTCATTGTCCAATTTTGCATAATACTTACAAAATACTCTTAATTTGAATAATTAATCACACATAATGATACAATCTGTAGAAAAATCCTAACATACAACAGTGATCCCAGAGACTCAGACTCAACTATATTTCAAAGTTAATCATTCTTCGTCCAACTTTAGCTAAATAGTCCCTAGTAAAATAACAATCAGAATTATTTAATTATGACTAATTATGAAGTGCGCTTACATTGGAGATAGTTCAATTGATCGGCGTCGGTGTAGCAACTTGCGGCCGTTCTGCGGCGGAGCAGTGCCAAATAAGATTGGTTGTACAGAACGAGCAGTGCCTCCGGGGTTTCATTAACAAGTTTATGGCAGGTTTGACCTGAATGGTCAGTTATACCCTTCTTAGGTTATTGAACAATTCCCAAAATACTTTACTTTAGCTCCAACATTTCTGTAAATTGTAATATAAACCCCAATAGTATCTTTCAAATGGCGGAAAATTTCTAGTACTCCCAAGGTGTGAACTATTCAATACTCTCCGTTACTATTTGGTTGACATGACTATTATTTGGACCTAATATTAAATGGAGAAATGAATAAGTAAAACATGTTCGGTAAACGTCGGTCAGGAGTATTGAATTCTGTACTCTAGGAATATTAAATTTTTTTTCCTAATAAAGATAACAATAAGACAGGACAATCCTCTCCATCCCTCACCTCATCAGGAATTTTAGAATAGAGACGTCAATTCAATTCGTTGGCTCGAACGACTCGAAGCTCATGCTTCGAGTTGCTTATAAAGATGGTCTTAGAAAAGGATACATTGATCATGAATGTTCAGTGTATAATAACAACGAGATTCTTAGAGCTCTATTTAATGAAATTGCTTGGATCGTTGAAGATGGAACAACCTATAGAGAGAGATACTATTCAAATTCAATTCCTCCTATCGTGTAATTTTTGATCGATTTTTTAACCATCAGTATAAAACGATCTATGCCTGTCACCTTTTATTCTTTGCTTTACTGTCAAGATATGATTCTACGTTAATTCTTTTATAATGAAACTCATAAGGTTATGAGGTTTTAAGAGAACCTTCAGGGATCGACTCAATGCTTGTAGTGGAGAAAAAATGAGGTCTGCACTTTGTGTACTCAGTAGTCCGGGTTGTTATAGTATTCCTTATAAAGAATTATAAAAGAAAAATACTAACTTTATCGAGTTGATGAAGAAAATGAAATTTTAAATGAAATGTAGCACTAGTTTTTGATAAAATGTCAATATAAGACTGTGAACGTTTCGTGCTTTCTTTTTTTATTTTAATCGATTGACAACAGATAGCGTTATCCTAATTCATATTTAGTCGGGTCATTTCTATCTAGGATGCCAAAGTTAGTTCTTCTCCAAATGGTGTCTTTCTCAAATCTTGACATTAGAATTTATTCTGTTTTTAAGGGTAAAATGTATTGTCTTAATTTGTTCCTCGTAGTGTTTCTTCATTTGGCTATATACCCCCTTTGCCATGTTGTCTCGAAATATTTAGCAACATTTGCTTAACTTTGATGTAACTAATTCTTATCACATAATTATTTTTATATATATAGGTTATTAAATAGTCAACTATACCGTGACACGTGCCTTGCACGTGCATCTTACTAGTAGTAAGAAAAGAGTTTAGTTGAGAAAATAATAAAAATGGTTAATGGAAGCACAAAACTTATGATTCTAATGTAACAAGTAACTAGAATCTACCTTCTCAAAGCAAACAAATTTATAATAGACTTGGGAAAAAAAATATAAAAAATAAATTAGACAACTCAAACTGAACAAAGTGCATCTACAAAAGATTTCAAGAACTAGAACTCGTCGAGGCCATTGTCTACGCAACTCTATTTAGGTACTCTCAAACACCGTTTCTCCAAAGTTTTATAGAAAACTGATAAACTGTGGTGATATCATTCCATCGGACAATTAATTGTTACATTTAAATGAAAAATCCGAGTCCTATACAATCTTCGTATATTGGTCTCAAATTATAAATGGAAAATGGAAACTATAGTGTAGATTTAAGAAACAAATGACATTCATAAAGTAGCGAGTGGTCATTAAAATGTTTCCTCGCTTAACTAGTATCAATCGATCGATTAATCAATCAAAAAAAAAGACGAGTAGGGCTTCGCACGATGGAGGAATTGGAGGAGGAGATCCTTCTTGATACCCATCATCAACATTGTCCCACATCGACTTTGCACTCAAGTGTTTACGTGTTTATATGTTATGTTCAACCAATAACGGACGGGTAGCTGAGTAAGGCGTCAGCTACGTTACCACAGTCCACAAACAAAAAGAATCGGAATAAATCTTCAAAAATAAATTTTTTACCGCTGAATGGGCTGATGCTTTTGAGCAAATAAGAAAGAAATTGACTTGAAGGTCAACAACCATAAGAATTACCTTTTCAAATCAAATAATCATAAATCCTTCCATTACTTAATTTCCATCCTTGCACTAATGGGGTTTTATTTTTAAATAAAAATTATGGTTTTGGCAAAATTACCCACCAAACAATTACCAAATTTAGGGGGGAAAGTAAATAACACCATAGAAACCGCACACTGCTTAATTTTTATTCTTGATACACAATGACAAGCAAGCTATTTATATGAGTTTGATGCATATAATTTAGTTAGGATTTTCGTACTGGATTATTAGATATTACAGGGTGTATTTAATTTAGATTTTCAAATACTTTTATAGACTTTTTGTAAGTGATGAACATTTATAGGGTTCGTGAACTTCTATTGACTTTTATAGTTTACTAGTCTTGAGCACGTGCGATGCACGTGTGTTATATTTAATTTTGTATTTAATAGAGCTCAACAATTCATGTGTTTTATTTATTCGTTCATCTCGAGATAATATAAGGGTGTGTTTGATAGAGAGCCAATTCCATCGAAAATGTTTTCCATTTTCCCACTTTTCCTTTGTTTGATAAGTTTTTTTTCCAGGCAAATGATTTTCCCACTTTTCCTCACACACTCACATTATTTTCTTTTCCTTGAAATCATTTTCTCACCACTTTGGTGAGAAAATGGTTTTCCACGTTTTTTTTTTTTTTTGGCAATTAGAAAAATTTCTAGATACAATGGTAAAAAAAATTTATCACTTTTATTGACAATTTATATGCAAAACAAAGCTAAATAAATGATATTCGATATAGTAAAAAAATTTGTAATTTTTTTTAATTTTTTGGCAATTGGAACAAATTCTAGACCCAATGGTAGAAAAAATTATTATTTTAATGGACAATTTTCATGAAAACAAAGTCAAACGGACACCAAACTTCCAATATTTTTTAGGTGAAAAATTATACAAATCAAATACAATTAATTACAATTTTCAGTAAAATAATTTTTAGACAATTCAATTTCCTGGAATTCATTTTCTTTCCACTAATTTTCTAACTTTGCAATCAAACGGACCCTAAGTGAAAAAATGAAAACTTATTTTTAGGAATTACACGGAATAATTCAGAATAGTATAAAATGAAAAGAATACAATTAAACACAATAGTAACATTTAGAATATAACAATCTAATGTTGAAATGCACTATTAATCATCACGTCGTCGTTGGCCCATACGTACAAATTTAAGTCCAAATGGTTATGTACGATGCGTCACTATTGGTTGGGCACACTATGCTAGAGTATAATAAAAGTCCATAATCGAACTTCATTCAATTCTATTCATCTTCGTTCGGAAGCAATCCTCTTGGCTGAAAAAAAATCCCACT